TGTGCCCAGACTATGCCAGGTCCCTGTTTAAAAAAAAAAAAATTCCACTCAGCAGAACGTTTATATTATAGGGGAATGGTCTGCTTTGGAAGGCACCCTAGTGGTGCATTGGTTAAAGCTAAGCAGGAGGCCCAAGATGCCAGCCCACCAGTCGCTCCTGAGAAGATAGATGTCTGGCAGTGCCCCTCTGAAGAGTCACAGCCTTACAGACCCTTTTGGATCCCTGTGAGACAGGATTGATTTGACCGTGAAACAAACGATCGCAGCCTTTTCTGAGGTCCAGATAGCAATAACGCCCAAGGTTTCTAAGCCTTTCTACGCTTAGCATCTGCTTCAGCTCGGTCACTCCCGAACGATCACGCATCCCAACACTGGATGCAGAGAGAGCAAACAGATCACAGGGTGAGTGTCATTTGTTTGGCATCACTTTGTAGACCCACGTTCCAGCTACGGTTTTTAATTCAAGGATACAGTTGGACTTCAAAAAGCTGGTGGGAAAACAGAATGGGGAGACAGTGGGATTTTCCCATTACCTTCATATAGCCCCTCTCACGCCTACCTAGTCTTCTAAGATCTTTGACTCCTGTAAAGAGGTTCTCGGTGTCTCATGGAACTTGGCATGCTACACAAAGTGGCATGACGTCTAGAAACGTTGCCACAAAAAACAGACTTGAGACTGGCCATCCTGTGGAGGGGCTGGGCTGGGCAGCAGGAGGCCGCAGCAGTGAGCACTGGCTGACCATCCTGGGTGACGCCTGTGCTTGTTGCGTCCATTTTCGATGACAATGGTGTTCTCAGAGACTTGCACGTCCTAACACAAGCTTTAGATTGAGAAGGAAATCTTGCTTTTTACCTTGACCTGGAGAATTACCAATGTATCCTCCAGCAGGTGCACCCTTAGAAATAGGTCCTCAGTCATTGAACACCAGCCCCCCCCTCAGTCACTAGACCTCAACTCACCAGGCTACCCTGACTCTGTTCACAGCAGAGTACCTATGCCTTTGGAGAAACGGGTCAGTCTTACTTATTCACATGGAAAGGCCATGCATAGCTTGCTTCGGTAGGAAGCTCTTTTCCATTGCCCACGTCCCACCACACAGTCTGGTTCTCGCCCTCATCGGAGCTGGCTTTAGGTGTCTGGGGAGCAACCTGCATGGACCGGAAGGTCTTTGGAGGATGCAGGAAAGGGGCTTCGAGAGGCGTAGAATTTGGAAGGGAAGGAAGCTATAGATACTATTCTTTCTGAGGAGAAACAATCCCTCAGTTATCTCACGGTCGAACCCCCCGGGGACACCCTTCCAGATTCAAGAGAGTGGAGAGCAATCCACTCCCATCATTTGACCTGAAGACAAGGTTCCCCAGCCTCTTTTTGAGATCAACCCGGTCCAAAGGAAGGGCTTGCAGGGCACAACTGTAAGAAAACACGCGTGCTCTCATGTGATGTCTTGGAGGATGGGGGTGGGTGAGT